GGCTCTGAGCTGTCAGCACAGAGCCCAATGCAGGGCTTAAACTCCCGGACCATGAGATTGAGATCATGACCTGAACTGAAGTCGGAGGCTTTATCGATTGAGCCACCCAGGCACCCCAAGAAAATTTTATTTTATTTTATTTTATTTTATTTTATTTTATTTTATTTTTTTAATGTTTATTTATTTTTGACAGAGAGAGAGAGACAGAGCATGAGTTGGGGAGGGGCAGAGAGAGAGAAGGAGACACAGAATCCAAAGCAGGCTCCAGGCTCTGAGCTGTCAGCACAGAGCCTGATGCGGGGCTCGATCTCACAGACCCCGAGATCATGACCTGAGCCAAAGTCGGACGCTCAACCGACTGAGCCATGCAGGCACCCCCCAACAAAATTTTAAATAAAAGCTTTTTACTCAGTAAATCTAATTCTATGATTTTTTCCCTAAAGATATAAGCGGCAAAAGGATAAAGATATATGTACAAAAATGTTTATTATATGTTGTTTTGTAAAAGCAAAGTGTTGATAAACAAAAAGTCTAAATGTCCATAGTAGGAAACTGGCTTTAGAAATTCACTGCGCATATGAGAGAATACTCTGTAAAAAGTGTCTATTTGTCAGCATGGAAAGATGGACACACTGTTGAGTTAACACTGCAAAGCAGTGATATATAGTATTGAGAAGGGAAAGTGGGGAGAGTGAAAGAGAGAGACAGATTGAGAGAGCTTGAGAAAGAGTCAGAGGGGAGGGAGAGGGAGCAATCTGTAATGATGTCTCCTAAAATGTTAGCTGCAGATATGCCTGGGGTGTGAGATTTCCAGGGATTTCTACTTTCTCCTTTATACGTTTCTACATTACTTTCATTTTTGCAATAAAATTCTATTTTCATCTGGGAAAACAAAAATACTGTGCAAGGAGTAAGAGTGAAAAAAAACCCCACATGTTAACCGTAGTTGTTTCTGGTCTTTACAAGAAGGGACGAAGGGTTCCTTTCCACTTTCCTCCATTTTTCAAACTGTCTTTTAGCAAATATGACTACTTTTATTTTTATTTTTGTTAAATTTTTTTAAAGCTAGAGAACACAAGCTGGGGAGAAACAGAGAGAGAGAGGAAGAGAGAGAGAATACCCAGCAGGCTCTGCACTGTCAGCACAGAGCCCGATGCGGGGCTCGAACTCACTCATCATGAGATCGTGACCTGAGCCAAAATCAAGAGTCGGACGCTTAACCAACTGGGCTACCCAGGTGCCCCCTGAATATGATTACTTTTAAAACGAGGAAATAATTACATATGGTGATGGTATTATAATCTGGCAGACTCACATGAGACCCACAACTTTTCTTCCTGGTTCCTGGGAAAGACTCCTCTGTGATTTTGATGGTCAGAGACTGCCATTGTTTTTGACTTAGCCACTCAGAGTGGCTTTGGCCTTAGTTCTCAAGGTCCACTTAGCTCTCTTAGGGTCCACAAACTACTGACACGTCACATCAGCTGGTATATGTTGGCTTCCCCAGTAGTCAACAACTAAGCCCAAGTTTTTTGTGTTTTGGCCTCATTTTTTTTCATTAAAAAGTTAATGTCCTTTTAGTAGATGAGATTTTGAAAGTTAAAGTCTAAAGAGGCAGGGAAAACTATAACCTCATTATTGAAATAAATGGCTGTTAATCCTTTGAACATCTTTTTCTTTAATCACATTTTAATATACAATTATGTATCTGTTCTTTTCCAGGTATCATTATGAGTGTTTCTCTGTATCATTGAAAACTCTTAAATACATTTTAATGGTCCAAGTTCAACATTTAAAATGCATCCATTTAGTCCTATATCATTTTGAACTGAAGAACATTTTATATGCTCAAAGGAAGTTTATTACAGGAGCCATGAGAAAGATTGCTGCCCATGTTAGAGCCTAGATCTGGTCCTTACCCATAATTGCAACTCCTACAAATCTTAATTTCAAGCATCACCTCTGACCACCTCATACTAACAGTCTGTTGACCTCAATAATCCATCAATACTATTTTTTCACTGTTACACACTGCCTTAAGGCCTCACTTCCCTTCTTATCCAGACAAAATTCCATGGTCAACTATTTCAGTCACTCTCTTGTATATACCCTCATCTTCCTCATCCCCTTTATTAGCTGAATACACCCTCAATCTTGGTTAAATCCAACTGTACCTACTCTGTACCTCCATCCCTGCAGCCAAATGCTCAAGCCCAGTTTTTAATGCTGTCTCTACAGACATCCTGTAAGCATTTATGCTTTCTCCTTTTCCTATAGGTGCCCCTATCTGGTAACCATAGAGCTGCTGTTTAGGTGTTCTGTCCATCTATCTTTCACCAATCCAACTCACAGGCCTGCACTTCCTCTTGGCTGCATTTCCCAGATTATTTTCTTTTTGCAGCTTTCTGATCTCTCTCTTGACTTGGGTTTGTTCTCTCTCCCTTCTCTACCCGCCCACCTCATTCCCAAACCCCCGAAAGAAATACAGAAGAAGTCGCCTGATAAAAATGAACTAGCCGTGAGTGTACATCTGGAGTCTCAGGTTCCTGTCCTGCTGTGTGACCTTGGGCCAGTCATTTCACATCTCTCATTCTTAGTTTTCCCCCTATACTTTGAGGTACATTCAGCTAAATAAACATAGAAGTAATTTTAATCCAGCTCTTGAAACAAATAGCCACGATTCTGAAAATTTAAGAAAGGAAAAATTTAGCCAATAGACCCACTACCTTACTTTCTTCCCTATACCATCCTATTTCCATTACCTGGCTAAGACAGTGCCAGCCATCTGGTGAGTATTATTATTGTTATTTTAGTGCTGAAACTCTCCTTGGCCCATCCACGTGTCCCACTCAGTAACCATAATGGAAATCCAAACACTTACCGTGAATTTCTCATAGAGCTCATAAGTCAGAAGGGGGTTGGGCAGCTCCCTAAAGTACAGCTTGCAGAGTGAGCCCACACAGTGGATGTCCTGGAGGTACACTTCCCTTGTCAGATCTGGACATTGATCTGAGCCAAACTCTTGCCTGAAACAACACAGACAGAGACATAACAACCTCGGGAACATGTGTTCTATGTAAGCAGCCGCTTGACTGCTTAGGGGTAAAAAGACCCTAAACTGCTGATCTGACTACATTTTGACCTCGATTCAAAATGACCTTCTATTCCTGGCATAAGGAAGCTATGGGAAGACTTATCAAGTCAGGTCTGGATCTTCCCTGTAAAAGCTGCTGTCATTAGGAAAACATAATGCCCATTTACAAATGGATTTCTCAGCGCATTATGTCTGCAGTTTCAGTTATGAACAGTGGGGAAATATGAAAACAATCTGCCAAAAAAGCCTGTTGAGATTTCAATTCTGCAACATTTTGTTCCAAATGAACTTTTCTTTCTTGGAGGAGAGACCAAAACCAGAGTGAGTCAGATTGTTATCATTCATCTCCATATACCTACGTCAACAAACTTGTTTTATCTGGAGACTCAAACCCAAGGTTTAAGCAACTATCTCCTTGCTGCTAAATGGAAACTTCTAAGCTGCCTGACAGGGACTCCCACAGGATAGACCAGCTTCTAAACATCTTCTTTTTTTTTTTTTTTTTTTTTAATTTTTTAAATGTTTACTTATTTTTGAGACAATGTGAGGGACAGAGTGCAAGCAGCCGAGGGGCAGACAGAGGGACACACAGAATCTGAAGCAGGCTCCAGGCTCCGAGCTGTCAGACCACAGCCTGACGCGGGGCTCGAACTCACAAACTGTGAGATCATGACCTGAGCCAAAGTCAGACACTTAACTGACTGAGCCAATCAGGCGTCCCATAAATATCTTCTTACAAGCAATGTATAGTGAGGTGTTTGGGAACATCATCAGATTCCAGGCCTTGTTTCTGATTGTAAAACATTTCCTTACCAAGCTTATGTGAATACACTGCCTCAAATAGTATACACTTATGAGTTAAAAATCTGTTTAAGAAATGACAATTTTCAGCTTTAACATAGAGGAGGGATTAGGTTTCTTGACAGTATTCATTTGGTCAGCCACGTAGTGGCAAAGTCAACAGGACTCTCGGGACCAGCCTTTGAAAACAGCTCGCTGCCCATTTTCCTGTCACCTGGTTCTGGATCTTCAGCAAAGGGTGGGGAAATCCCTGATGGTGGCCAAACCTGAAAGGAGCTGAGTGGGGCCCTGAAAAGAAAACCATGCAACGGCCTTATAAATTCACAAGTGTGTGTGTGTGTGTGTGTGTGTGTGTTTCTTTAAGAGGCCAGAACAAGAATAATTTGGAGCTTATTCATTTATTTAGCCAAAATTTCCCTGTCGAGGCTAATAGGGTTGGTCCTTAAATGAAAAAGAATTGGCCATTGCTCAAATGTTCTCCTACGGTACTAACTACCATGTAGTTGGTCTATTTCAGAGCTAAGAGTGAAACATTAAAAAGTATTTGTTGAAACTCTAAAAAATGTCAGTAAATTAGTGAAATTATAAAAGCACATAGATCTGTTAAAATCTATGGTTACAATAAGCTGATTAGTTTTGAACAGTCACCACTTCTCCAGGAATAAAAAAGATGTGTTATTCCTTTGGTATAATTTCATTATAATTGCGATTTGAGGGGGAGGGACAGAAAACCAAGTCAGAGGAAGAAGACAAAATACATTAACTTTACAATCTATTAAATTTAACAGACTACTCTGGTAACACGAATGCTTTTATTGTTTCAAAAGTCTACATTTATTCATAACTAAACATATAATAAATATATAAAAATACCACCTGATAAAACACTCTGTATATATACTGTATATCTCTTCCCTTTATTTGATATATGTAATACATATAAAACATACACATATCTGTGTTTTGTGTGAAGGTTATTATACTCTTAATTCAATGTGACAGAAATTTCTTCCAAAAAACTCTAGGATAAATTCTAGAATTGTTTAGGAAAAAGCAATACATTTGGAAGTAACCCATCTATCCATAGTCTTTTAAGTATCAGCCTCGGGGTGCCTGGATGGCTCAGTCAGTTGAGCGTCTGACTCTTGATTTTCACTCAGATCATGATCCCAGGGTCATGGGATCAAGCTCCACTAATGGTGGAGCCTGCTCAAGATTCTCTCTCTCTCTCTCTCTGCCACTACCTCTGCCCTTCTCCCCTACTTGTGCTCTCTCTATATAAAAATTAAAATTAAATAAAATAGCAGCCTCAATGAAAGAAATGCACAATCATGAAGATTTGTGATTTCCTGACCAAGTGAAATATCCAATGTTGAATGTCTGCCAACAGAAAAACTCCTATCATCTCCAAGTTCTGAACACTATGTAATTGGGATCTAACTGAACTCTGGGTAGACAAGTGAATGATAATAAATCATGTTTTCCTGACTTGTATTTTAAATCATTTGAGTTCAGCTGAATCCACCTAAGAAGGCTAAACCTGGTGCAAGACAAAGAAACAGATTAAAAACTCTCAGGAGCTTTTGTTGGAAAGAATTACATCAGACTAGAGGATTTCCTGATTAGATTAAGAACAGTTAGGCATCTGAAAACATCACACTTGATCTTCTGCCCTGCCACCCTTCTCTCAACTGCTTCAGGTTTTTAATACTCCCAATTCTGGCGAACAGAGGTATGGACAGAGGAAGGCTCATGGGAGAATTCTTTGGGGGCTCTTCTTTTAGCTCACCTTAGCCTTTGTATATTTGAGGTGACTCCCGAAAGCCGATAAATTCCATCCACAATGCCGTGAGTCTCTATAAATTCTGCACAGCTCTTCAATACATATGGAACTATGAAAAGAGAAACAATAAAGTATTAGATATGTCTAACTGTTCTTTAAAGATATCCTTTTAAAACTCCAGGTAACTTCAAAGAGAAGCAAGTATGGAATGCATGTGAGTTACAAGTGGAAACAATTACTTTTAAATGGTAGATGATATTCTTTTGTATTTAAAAAATCATGAGGTTTTGTTAAACTTTAGAAAAGTCATGTGTTTTAAGAGTTGGTTGGGTTTTTTTAAAAAATTTGAAAAATATGCAAACACTTAGATTTTGAAACCAGCAGTGACCTTGGAAATCCCACAACTCAATCTCCTCATTTCACTGGTTCTCCTAGTGTGGTCTCCTGACCCGCAGCATCAGCATCTCCTGGGAACTTGTTGGACATGCAAATTCTCAGGCCCTACTCCAGACCCACTGAATCAGAAATTCTGGAGGTGGTGCCCAGCAATCTGTGTTTTAAAAGCTTTTAATGTGAATGCTAGCACGATACAATTGCCTACACTACACATGAAGAAACCAAGGTGCAGATAGATTTACTTACCTCATTCAAGATTATTTGTTGCTTATGAAAAGTAATCAACGTGGGGAAACCCTTATGATATAAGTAGGCAAAAGAAAAATAAGGCACAAAATCAAATATACATTGTGAATTTAGCTATGTTAAAAAAAAATGCAAAGGAGAAAAGACTAAAGATGTCCACCAGAACGTTAAAAGTGATTAAAAGGTCAAAGTGTTAAAGTATTTTTTTTAATGTTTATTTATTTATTTATTTATTTATTTTTAATTTTTTTTTTCAACGTTTATTTATTTTTGAG